GTCCAGGATCCCGGATGAAAAATCTTGACCCATTGCGCACCGGGTTGCTGAGGATGGGCACCACTCCAGCCACGGCATGACAACTTAAAGCCTAGATGCACAACCGAGAAAAGCACGGCTGCAGGCAACGAACCCTTCAAGCCATGTGTCACCAAACATGCCAGTCAACCGCAAAACAATCAATCCAACACTCACAGCGCACGAAGCATCGACCGCGGCGGATTGTAGCCAGACGCGACATAGGTTTCATGCCGCTCACTCCAAACAAATTCAAGATGATAGGGAGGTGAGGAAGGTCGTCAATCACCATCTGAGATCAAGGATGTTGACGAAGAAGACAATCCAGCGTGCATGAGGTCAGGTGATCTCGAAGGGAAAACTGGCCGCGCAATGTTCGGGTGCGGATTGCCAAGTCTTTGGTATCCTCTGGTGCGCCAGTCACGATATTGCCATGTATAAAAGGATGCATAGGAGACCGGCTGGGAGAAAGAATCCAGTGTTGTGCCTCCTGCGCGTCACGAGGCCAATACACTTCGAAGTGGTAGAACCTGCGCCACTCTTGATAGGTTGATGCGCTATCCGGAGTTGGTCCCAAAGTGGAATCATCGGTGGGGGAGAAGGTTCACGCCACGCGCCATCTGGAACTGAAGACGCCGAAGAGGACGAAACTCCATCAGACACGAAATCTGTCGATCCAATGTATGCACGTGGGACACCAAGCCGTTGATAACCACGCGTGTGCCAATCCCGGAATTGCCATATGTAATAGGACGCGTAGGAGACGGGCGTAACATTCGGGTCTGCAGTGGTGCCTCCGGTGCTGTCACGCGGCAAGTACACGTCAAAGTGGTAGACCCTGCGCCATTCACGATACGTGGAAGCTCGGTCCGGAGTTGGGCCCAAGGTGGATTCCGCCACAGATGCCCGGTGGGTAAACCCGAATCCATTCCACGCCTCGCTCAATGTGGTACTCAAAGTAGCGTGGCAACATGACAACCGAATGAGTCGCTATGTCACAATTGCAAGGGCAAATGAAGCCAAGGGTTCTGCGGTATGAAATGGCCAACATGTACACCATGTACAATCAGCAAGCAATGCAATGCAGAACAACTTTTCAAACTGAAGACTGGACGAATCAGCAAAGTCTGTAGTGTACCGCGACAATGTTTCACCGCCGCTTGTGACGCGCGCATCTGCAATGGAAATGTCCTGGTTGACGTCGCACACAGGGAGAAAGACATTTCCGTCCATGAGGTAGGAAGGCGTGGCAGTAATGCTTGCATCTTGTGGTTCTGGACCGTGTTGCACGAGTAGCCCTTTTCGGAGTGAACACAGTGAAGGGCCGCCGAGAATAACGCTCATCAGAGATTGATGTGGTTCGAGTGCGTTTCGGGGAACACGTGAGACTGCGGTGATCCTCAGCATGGAATTGGTCAGCTCTGCAAACTGAGCGGCGTGTGCGCTCAGAGACCATAGTAGCCGGGCATGACTGTCCTCGGGGAGAAGGGGTAGAGGAAGTTCGCAATGAGGGCAAGAACTGTGGATGAAGCATCATCGGTGGCGGTGGTGGTGGTGGAGGAGGAGGAGGAAGTAGTAGTTGCGGTGGAGGTGGAGGTGGTGCCGTCAATCGAAATGGTCTGTCAAGCAATGTACCGGCCGGGTGGTTTGGTCCGTGATACTGTAACCACGTCGGCTGCGCTCCATGGGTCCAAGTTATGAATGTCTGCACCATTTGCTCCAGCATGATTTGAACACTCATGTCCGCAAAACAAGGCAAGACAACTACAAGGTCAACGCAATGCACCACCACTCGAAAAGAATTTTGACGGCTCCAAGATTGCAAAGTCATCTAACCGCGAGCCTCAAGTCGCTGGTAGACCTTCCATGCCTGCTTGACTTCCTCAATGGGTTTCTGAAGAAAGCGGGCGATAGTCTTGTAGGTGGGCCTGGAATCCTTGTCCTTTTTGCGTCTGACCATCTCATCCAGCTCACCCTGCGTCCATGCCGTGAATGGTTCGAGATAAGCATTGCGGAGGGCAATGGTGAATTCCTGCAGAAGTTCACGAGGTCCATGGACGACCGTCGGCGATGGACGGAACGAAGAAGCACCAGGATGTGGACGGACTGAACCGTCCGAATCCGAATCAGGCGTAGTAGGCGAAGCGTGCCCCGGAGCGCGATCGTTGCGTGCGGCAATAGGAGCGAGAGGTCTTGGTGATGGTAACCGGTCCACCAGAGTCTCTGGGCGTTGACCAGGGTTGTTTCCTTGAGCTTCACGACGTGCTTCACGATGAGGTGATAGTGCAGGTGTATATCAGGTAGAAGAAGATGCGCTCCGTGATGATGCGTGGACGTAGTCCATGTCTTGAATTACGTGGTGCTCTGGGAGGCATCCGGGGATCTCCACCAGAGCAAAGTTCAGGGTGTCCAGGGCAGTGGCAACTTGGAAGGCGAGGACGTTGAGCACTGCCACCAGGTTATTCACAA